CCCGCGTCGCATATACGAGCGGCGTTGTTATAACGGCACGAACTTTAAATAGCCGGGAAAGGAGAAAGGGGTCGAGATCAAAGGGACGCGCCTAAGATATAATCGAAACGTTTCTTTGGTACACTTCAATTAAGTATACATGAATTGCGAGAGGAGCTCCTTGGCCGACCTTGAGGGAGCTGGCCTTGACGCATTTTTATCGGAGTCCGAGAACCCCCATCGTCGGAATAATAAAGATCGAGATCGGTAGCGAGGAGAAGAGGCAGCGAACGAGTCCACCGAGTAGATCCGGCAAACGCGAGAACGCACTTGCAGATGCACGCACCTGCAGTCTTGATATACGATAATAGTTATCAGCGAGAGAGAGAGAGAGAGAGAGAGAGAGAGAGAGAGAGAGAGAGAGAGTGAGAGAGAGAGAGAAAGAAGAAAAGAGAGAAAGAGGGAGAGAAAGCGACGTCCAACCACATCCGCAGCAGTAGTCGCACTAATGGCTCTAATACCTTCATTGCACAATTCTAAATTAATATATATACATACATATATGTCTGCGTATAAATATATTATAAACAGCACACGTATACGCACGTACATGTGTACACATATATACACGTAAGCCCTAAGTGTATATTTTAGGATGGTATTAGCGGCGGCAAAAGGCGCGAGCGTATACCGATCATCGCGAAGTACTGTGCTAAGAATAAGTTAGGTGTGTCTATGTAAGTATTATAAATAAGTAAAGGCGAAGAAGCGCCACGGCGACTTAAAGGGAGGATCATCCACGATTTTTACGCAACTCGATAATCTATGGAAATATATGTATACATAAAAAATTAAATATAATATGTAATTATATATCTAATATATAATTATAATATATAATTATATATTCAATTAATTTTATATCTTAATTATATTGATATTAATTTTATATATAATTATATATTATAAATATTTATAGTATAATTATTATATTTAATTCTATATATGTACTTTCTCTTTTGATAGAATGTACCACAAATAACTCAATTAAATAACGCAGAACATCTTGCATTCTGTAATTATTATAATTATCGAACGAGTTTTTTTGATAATTATCGTAATTACTTATACTTGGCAATGGTAATTATTCGATGGATTTAAGTTCGCTAAATGGTACAGAGAAAATCCTTACGATCCCCGGAAAATTGAATTGCATTCAGTTTAAAGGAAAAGGAAGGATCTGTACATACACCTGTTATTAGAAAAATATTATAAGAGCCAATTAATAATAATTAATCTCGTTATCACTATAAGAAAGAGAGTTGCACTTGCTTCTTTGTAATACTTAGATACCCACCAATCGCCGCGCACGTATGTGCGGCTATTATAAATATTCGAAGAGATGAAGATATAAATAAATGAATATATTATATATAAATATATATTATATATACATATATATATATATACAATGGCGACACATTGGCGTAGAATTTAGCATATAATTGTATTAATGTAAACTTCTGAGGCTGTGGGTGTGGCACAAGGATGCTGATTTATTATACGAGCTGCTGCACTGTTGCAACGTGTGCGAACCTTAGGGAATTACACTTTTAACTTTTGAGGTACGCGTGAATCCTGCCCGTGTGCGCGAAAATGCGTGTCAAGGTGGAGACGCATCGTCGTCGTGTACACGCGAGCTCACGTCTCACCGTGGTAGTATTACACCGTCGAATGGACGCGGCTACGCTGAATTTTTATATATATCTAGGCAATGCAAGAGAAGAGAGAAAGTTGTGATTGAAACCATTCGATGTTTCTAAAGGGAAATTTTTAGAAAAATATACTTTATTTTTTTAAATAGAAAATAATTAGAGAGGTATATTTTATTTTTTACATTTTATTCTTTTATATACGCGTATTTGTTTTGTATATTTTATTTTAGAAGAGCGTGATATTTACATGGTATAATAATTTATATGATAATTGATGAATAAAATATATATAGCTCGCGCTCGATAAAAATGCGAGCATATAAAATAAAACATTGTAAGAACAAATAAAGCGCGAGGGGAAATTCTGCGAAATAACACCAACGATTGAGAAATCAATGCTATTAACACCATTGATACCATCTTCATAATTATTATTTACGGTGCAATATAATAAGATGCGAGCTCACGTGACGTAATAACGGTGGACCTCCACCTTTAGTCGACATTTTGTCCTGGAACGCAATCCGCGGTCGATCAGCGGCGCCTTAGAGCCATTATTATTGCTATATGACATAATTACGTAGATACAATTAGCGAGCAGCGAGACCAATGTACATCGAGCCCATGAACACGTGCGAGAACCGCAATAGCAAACGAGAGAGAGAGAGAGAGAGAGAGAGAGAGAGAGAGAGAGAGAGAGCATGCGTGCGTGTGTGTTTGACGTGTTAATGTTATTCGATGGTTACAAGGTGGCATATTAATTAGCCGGTATACATATTAGATATAAAATATATATATATCCCTGTTCTCTATTTCTTAAAATAATATTACGACAGTTGATCAGAGAGGAACACGCGATGGAACAATGGTTGCTCTCCGTAAAAAGTCCAAACGACGATCGTCCGTTCGGTAAAACCTTTTAAATTATTTCATCATTAACATTTTAATTAATTTAAGGGATTGGATCGTGAGAGTGAATAAAAATTTTGAAAAGGTAAATATTACAATAGAATCAAACTTGGATTTTAAACTAACGTTAAACTTAGCTCGATGTATTATTTATTTATGCGACCACGATGTATTATTGCTGTAAAAGCAACATGGACAGGAAACAAAAAAATTTATATACTCAAGATTAGATTAGGGGTTACAAAAAAGTCTAGCCACAAAGTTTTGTGTTTATCAATGTGTATATCAAAGTTAAAGGCGTCTATTTTGAATGTTTATTATTTTTTGTATGTAATAAGCTATAACTAACACTCCAAAGTTTTTTTGTGAATATATGTTATATTAATGATAAACACAAAACTTTGTCACATAAACTCTGTTGTCATCCTTATAAAAACAATTTGTCATCCAAATGCAGTTTCAACATAAAAATCGACGCGATAATACAATGTCGAATTTTGGCTTCCATGATTATTCGTTAATTGTGTACGGCGAGTTGAATTAATTCTGTTAAGGTAGACGATCGTCGTCGAAACAGCATTATTCTATCACGTACTCACTTTATTTTAACGACGTTCTCGAGGGGAATTGTACGCAGAGAAACTTGGACCGGATCATTCGTGGCATCTAGAAATGGAAATGCTGGTGTGAGTCTGCGGAGAAGTTTATTTCACCTATTTAATTTTTTTGTACAGTATTTTTATGTTATCACACGACACTTTCTACAAAGATTTTATCTCACAGTCTCTGTAATATGCAAGTTTTTATCCCGCGTTATGCAAATTTTTAGAGAGAGAGAGACGACGCGACGCATTATTTGTAAGTAACTCGATGATTATTTTAGTTATTCGGTATAACATAAGTCGCTGGCTTTTACATTGCTTTCTTTTCCTTCGAAACGCGCCATCTCTAGAAATTAGCATCCTCCGCCTTTCTAGAATTTAAGAAAACGGATAAAACTTTGCGAAATAGGACCGATTAATTTATTATTTCTATCTTATATTCACCGCGCGTTTTCCTCGTTCGAGAATTTGTACATTTTTGTAGCTTCTAAGGCATTATCTGAAATATATCGTCCTTATTTTTCGAAAAATGTTTGAGAAATACACTGCAGACAAATCTCCAGACAACGCATCACGGATAAACAATTTTCGTTTCTATTATTTTTTTTTCTTTTCATTATTTTATCATTTTTTTCTTTTCAGTTATTTGTTTATACGATCCTTTCACGAGTCTCGCCTTTTGTTTTTGTCTTTTTGCTGGACGAGAATTTCGATCGCCGAGCAAAAATTCGATCCAAGGAGCACTTGGAATGAAGTCTCACTCCAAGAGAGTGAGAATACCACTTTTGAAAAAGAGTGAAAATATTTCACTCCAAGAAATTTAGAGTGTATTTAATGGCGACTCTATACGATCATTTCCATCTCGGTACGGATGTCATCGCATTATCGTTACATTATCAAGCGAATTAGGAGAGACTGTGTGAAATTGCGCTCGAACGGGCTGACTGACGTGTCTCTCTCTCTCTCGCCGGACAAGGTGAGAGAGGAAAGGAACCTTCGAGCTTATCGCTCGCTCGGACTGGCTAGCAGATCCGTTGCGCTCGTGATAAACACAGCGTGATTTTAGTGTGAACGCCATAGTATTATTAAACCGGTACACCGGCGTGATCCTTAGAAGATTTTGGACCATATTTGGCAAAGTGACACGACGCGATCTCGAGATCGATCGATCTCGTCGGGACTCGTTGCTCGTATCCGCACGGAGCGTTACATTCGAGGTGATCGAATGCGCAAGAAAGCGCTCTTTTAGTTCCTACCTTTCTAAATTGTCAAGTTGAAGGTGCTTGGAAAATTTGAAACGTGCCTAAATTCGATATATTT